AGATAGCCTAACCCTTCGTGACACCTCCAGCTATCTGAAAGCTGCATTTTCTCCTCTTTCGGCTCCTGGGAGTTTTAAAATGCTGCAGCAATTGCTTCTTTTTCCAGTCTTCAGTAGTATGAGGAAACCCGCTGACTATGACGCCTCTGTGCCTTTATGCAGTTAGAGCAGACCTAGGAGATCTTGGCACCTGGCAGATTGAAGAAGCAGGAAATGTAATGCTCAGCATCATTTATAGACTTACCGATATAGATGTTCCTCTACAGTCACAGGGTTATCTTCCGCATTTCCCTAGAGTGAAGGAACATCCTCCTCCTCCACTGGTAAAAAAGACTAATAAAAAGTTGTATCTATCCTGCTACATCTGTACAGAGGTAGCACTGGCAGTAAAAAAATAAGTTGGAGCAGACATTTCTTATCTTATCCTTCAACATGACATACCATCCCTCATTTCTACTATCTTTGCCCCATTAAAGTCTTCTAACTGCACAGACAAAAAAAAAAATTAAAAGTCCTATTTTAAAGCTGTACTTAATACTCAAAAAGCATTTTCTTACCCGGTGCAAAGATTTCAGGAAAACATTTCTTCAGCAAATGTTTTACCTAGGACTGCTCTAACCTCAATTTTCCAGATGCGAGATGCGTTTTAGTAGGCACACGAAGTAAACTTGCTTGTTAGCTTGCAAGAATTTTAAACATTTTTTTTCTTTGAAGTTTTGAGTATGTTTTCTCATCTCCCAAGTTTGCTTCCTTGTCTTCATCCTGTTCAGCCTCTCTAAAAGAGAATTAACTATGTTCATCCTTGGCTACACCAGATCCACTGCTGAGAACAACCAGGGGGAGAAGGGAAATACTGTAATCTAGGAAAAACAAAAATTCTGGTATTTCCACAAAAAAACCCTCCAAAACACACACCCTTGGAAGAAGGGAGTTCTCCCACATGTTAGTTCATTCCCCACTTGCCTTCACTTCTTTTGTCCCTGTCGTTTGTTAGTGAGCATGAAAAGGCACTAATGAATGAGCTGGGGTGCATCCTTAAGCACAAGTTTTCCTCCCATTAAGTGCAGCTACGCTGGCTCCCATGGCTGGCTTCATCCTCAGGCTAAGCACGCAAATATATCAAACCAGCTGGACACAGATTAACACCTCTCCCCTACCTTTAACACAGGTTTAAAACAGTACATGTACTTATGATCACATGCAAGTAATTAAAAGCTTTGGTTCTCCTCACTAAACCTTTCTCAAAAGTGCCTTTGTCTGAACATAGGCCAAATAAAGCCTGATTTGAAAAGAGGACGAGAAATTAGATCAAACTGAGTATGTAGCATTCTCATTATCCCTCATGTCAGACAAGTCAGAAGCAGTTACATAATTGGGCCTCCAGACTCTAGGCAGTGAAGTGTTAAGAGAGAAGAGCAATCCCAGGACTGCATGCTGGGTTTTGACAAATAGAAAAACACAGAAGTAGGCCAAGAGCTTACAATCAATGTTTTTTTTTTTAATTGCACCATGGCGAGAAATAGTTCATCGTATGGCACGTGTGGTCAAGGAGGTAAGAAAGTTTCTAGTGCAAGAAATGGAAGAGCAAGGGAGGGAATTTTTTCCGTGTACGCGCTTGTGTGTGAATCGGAGAAAGTGCACTTGCGAGTGAGTGAGCAAGAACGTGTGTGTCTGAGAGGAGTGTAGTGCAGAGAAACACAAGGGGAGGCAGCGGCCCATAAGGAATTGCTATGAAAAGGAATGGGGGTGGGGAATCATGCACAGTCCTTTTTTAGCTTCTTCTGTAAAAAATAAATAGACCTTTTAATCTGTGTTCTCCTTGAAGCTTTCTCTATTGACCATTCATTTCTTCATTCCCTTCCCAGCTCTTTACCTCCTCTATATGGCTGATGAATATGCAAATGCATAATCAGTTCTATAATAGCCTATCCTTTCTAAAAACAGGCTATAAATTTGGATCCTAAGCAGCAGGTTCTAAAAAGACTATTATACTATATGGCTGGGGGAAGAGGCTAGACCCAAATACCACCACAAGCACACCAGAGTTCTTTATAATGTGTGTGAATGCAGCTAGAAGGCAGAGCCTTGATATCACGGAGCCGGCAGCCAGAAAGGCAACATCTTCTGCAAGACGTACACACGAATCTCATCACGGCTCCCCGCGGGGTGGGACTGCACCCGCTCGCAACAGGCAGTGCTCCCTGCAGGCTCCAGCAAGAACACTACCGTGACACGAACCCCAGGACCCCGCAGGTTTTGGTTTGGATTGATGCCCGCTGCCAGGACCGCGGGAGGTGTGGGGAACCCCCAGTGACCTGGAGGGGGATCGTCCTGGCTGTGGAGTGGGGCGGTGGGCGGCAGGTGGCACCCCGGGGTCTGTTTGCCTGTCGGAAGGTCTCTTTACATCTGAAGAGACACACAGCTGCACCCCCAAGGGTTAAAACAGGACCAGAGGCGCTACACCCCACTAGCGGGGCAACAGGTTGAGGGTCTGTGCATTGCACATCAGCTGCTTCCCAAGCTGCTCCCTAGGAGCTGCCTCCTTTCTTCTGTGAAGTAAGCACAAACACTTGTGTACAATACTTGCATAAAGTTCCTTGTCTGTCATTTTGAGGCCCTCCTCAGGTTCCCACCGGGCTTTACAGTATTCCTGGATGTTGTCACTGCAGGGTAGAATGCAACAGCCATTAGTCCAAATTTAATGAGACGGCCTAGACTTACTACACAGGGCGTGAAAGCTCAAGGTGCTGTGCCCAAGGGCATCCACCAGTCCATCACTCCAGCTTCTGAACTGCAGTGCAGCAAAGACTGGAACCCCACAGGAAGGAACCAGGCCCAGATGTGCTTTGCAGTTCCCCATGGAAAAATACGCAGGAACAGCTACATGTCTTCAAGCTCCAGGCTGAACTGACAAGCAGGAAAGCATCGATGGAAACTGAGCACTCCTGCTCAACTTTTGGGCAAGACAGAAGCAAAAATGTGGGTTGCAACAGTTTCACTACCACTAGCCAGGGCAGCCAGGACGTCACTACATTACACCCAGGCTGGCCCTGTACCTGGGACAGCGGGAGCATGAACCACCCTGATGGGGCACAGAGGTGAGAAGGCAAGAGTGATGTACATAGGATCCTCAAAAATCTGGATAAAAGGACAGAAACTTGGATCTGGCTATAATCACAGCTCTTGTGCCTTGAACACATCACAACTCTTCATTCATTGTATTATCATTCACAGGTAATGAACAATACTTGCATAATTCATAAGAGTAACATGATAAAAGAAATAGAATCATAGAACAGTTTTTGGCTGGAAGAGACCAAGATCATCGAGTCTAAGAGGACACGCTATAATCACAGAGATATCCAGATAAACATGAAATAATTTTAAAATACATCTTTGCAGAGATTAATGGTTAAAAACAAACCCTTGTAATCTTAAAAAACGCTCCAAATTGAGTAGCCTTTGAATATGGACGTCATTGCACACTTTACTTCTCCCTCTTCCCATCACCTTTAACACAAATGTACCTCGCAAAGCAATAAAAACTCTGCAACATCCCAACAAAAGCAGGGAGGACAGGAGGAAGGAATGTCAAAATATGATTTATTAAAATTAAGTTATAAAACCTTAGGACCAGTTCATAAAGAAGCATGAAAATCTCATCTAACACTTTGAAGAGGGGAGCAGGGCTCCTCAGACAAGGTGCAAAGCCTTGACCTGATCTGTGTTGGAGGTAACAAGATCTACGTGGTGGTTAGATTTGACAATTCAGATCCTCTCTGGAGCCTTGTTTTCTTTTTTGTCTTTTAAGATTCTTCCAAGACTATAAACATACCAGCACTCTGTGTGCATACCACAGAGTAGTTTTTGCCTGCATCACTGGAAGCACATGGTTTTCATCCTAGACTGAAAATACTTTCACAAGTATTTGCATCACCTCAACTAAAAAAACCCAACAAAATGCAGGCAGAGAAAATATTTTGATCTCAAAGTAAAACCAATTAGCCAAGTAAGGCTTGGATACCATAAAACAAGAATTAGAACAGGAAAAAAAACCAGTGAGTGGATATACTCAGAGGTAACCTCCCCTTGGGCAGTGAAAAATCTTTGGATTTTCAGAAACACTGTCCAACCACCGCAAATAAAGTAGCGTCCTCCCCTTCCCTAACCGTAGGAAAGAAACTAACTCCAGCACCCCAAAACTTGCTATGATCAGCACATCTTAGGCACAGGATCTGGAGATAATTACCAGAAGGGATGCTGGCAGACACCAAGGTCCATTCAGAGAACATGCATTTGCCACTCCTTCCTGAATTTCAGAAGTCTCTCTTCTGTATACATTTGCATGTCCAGCTGCACACCCTAGAGATTCTGGGTCCAAGAGGAACAATATTCTGTGCAGGATACTTTGAGCTAATTAATTCCTTATTGAAACGCTTCAAATAAAGTACAATTTAAATTAAAAACATTGCAAGAGAGGTATCTGACAGTGGCGTAGACATGACATAATGGTTACAGTTTAGAAAACTCACATGTTATCAAATGAGAACCCATGACAAACTCAAATCTTCACATGAGACTACATGAAGACTTTATGAAAATGGAAATGTACGGATGCCTTTTGCTGTAACAGGAATAACAGTTTACTGGTTAGGTTATATTTTGTAACTACAGGAGGCAAGTTTGGAAATACTGACTATTACCAATTCTACCATGAAATGCTGTCCAGAAGCATCCATAATAGAACTGCACCTGTGCTGCTCGTATAAAGAGCAGTGACATTTTTCTTTCTCAATATTCATGGCTGAACTACTAAAACACTCATAGCAGAACACTTGGCTTTTTTCTATTCCCAAGTTTAAAGTAGTAGCAGAAGTTACTCCTGTAGATGGCTGTTAAGCCTCAGTGCATTAGTACGCTGAGACTGCCTCCTGTTCTCTCCTCGTTTGACACAGTTAAAGCCAAAACAAAAACCCGTAACATTTCTGGTGTTACTGTACTTTCCCTAGCAATATGCAACAAAATCATACCATATACATCAACCTTTAGAAGCAAAGCCCTGACTCGAGTTACAAAAACACAGTCTTCCCCTCTTCACCGGACAGCTTCTTCATGGCCTCATTGCCTTTGTGGTACAGGCTGAGTTGATCATACTGATTTCAAATCGTTCCTTTTAACCTCTACCCTCCACCCACAGGTCCTTGGCTTCTCTCCTCATTGGTTACTGCACCCTGGGGCTGCAGAAGAGGCACCTGCCTGCTTCTGCTTCTTACGGCGCTTGTTCAGGAGGCGGTTGTTGGATGTTTTCAAGTCTTTGATTTTCACCTGATCATAGTCCACCCTCATGGTAGCCAAAGCGCTGGTCATTTCCTCCTGAAACCAAGGAAGCAAGTTATTGAAAACCCCGCAGCACGGACACCCCACGCTACTGCCAGGAGACTAACATACAAAAAGGAACCGTTCCTCTGTTACACTACAGCGAGAAATAGATGAGCCCTTTCTGCTGCGCTGGACTATGACTAAAGGCTTCGTTCTGCTCGTGGACTCACTCAGAAGGACCGACTCACATCGTGTTCCACATGTGAGCACGCAGGACCACACTACACTGGCCTAAATTCCACCATGCTCAGCATTTCTTACTGGCTGGCTCTGGGCTTCTCACACCAGGCTCAGAACACTGCTTTCCTTGCTCTGTTACCAAATTCTGCTAGCAGGAATTAGAATGAAGAGACCACACCAAGTTGTTTAAAAGTGCTTTAAATCCTTAGTTTGAATTTATGTTCAAGTGGAGGCAATTTTTAAACTTTTTAATAAGGTTGTGAACAAAAACCTGCTTAAGTAAATGAATGTCTTGGCATTTAGTTTAGGAAAGCAAAAACAATTAAATATTATGGAAATGTCGGTGGCCCAAGGGAATACCACAAAGCACAAGCTTAAGTAGTTCTCAAAAACATGAAAATCAAGAGGGCTGATGTTTGATTTCTTTGACTTGAAAGGCAAATGTTGCTCAGGTCAGGTGAAATTTCACCATTATGTGGCTCAACAGCTGAGACTATACGTCATTAATCTGAATAAAATCAGTCATCAGTAAAATACTACAGGAATGTTGCAATATCAAAATGCCAAGCACTATAAATGCAGAAAATCTGAAAGTAACTGTAAAAGCATGTCAACCTGATAAAGGCCAGTAGGAAAGAATTAAGGCTTGTAAACAATTTTTAGCCTGCCCTATAGTTTCACTTTGCAGGAAGCATTCAACTGTCATTTGTACAAACAGTAGGTAAGGTACCTGGTTAGATAAAGGGAAAAAATTCTTTTTTCTCCCCCATCCCTGGCCAAATGTTGCAACAAGACAAAGCTCAGGTTATTTAATGTTTTTATAACACAAGAATAGAGTGCAAAACCAGAACACAGCTCAACCCTCCCACCATGTCCCCCTACATTTTCACCATATTCTTCACTTCACTAGAACAAACTTCAAACTCCCTCAAGACTGTCATTCCTCCTCGGGGACCCTGTCCCCTCTCTGCTCTGGGGTTGCAGAGAGTGAGTCAGCAGGTGGCATCATTAATACCTTTGATCGCGAACATCATCTTGTTGATATCTGGCACAGCTCCAAGGCTGTCAGAAGAAGCTCAAATAGTATTTTTTAATTTTTTTAAACAGCTGTCATATATACTACTGTTCTAACCAGGACTGTTGATGCTTCCCTTGTCCAACATGCTTGTATTCAAAACAGCCATAATCTCTAAGGAAATAAGCATATGCAGAGAAGCCAGCCCATCCGAGCTCTTACCAGACTTCAGCTCAAGAAATCTAAGCTACGATTGACTCACTTTAACTTCATCCCAGTGGTCTTTATCTTCTTGCAGGACCCGTGCAGTATGAAGTGGAGTTGGCGGCACTGCCATTGATCTCTGAGAAAAGGGAAAAATACTGTAAGAAGTGTTCTGCAAAATCACATTTGGGAAGTGACTGCTTGCTCTTCTATGTGTATGGCAGGCATAAAACTTTATCTAATGTCCTTCGGTAGCTCTCATTATTCATGTTTCCAATCATTCCACAAGTGAACTCATGTGTGAAGTAGAAAAGGACTACAGTCCCCAAATGATAGTCTCTTTGAAGAACAACAGGAGCAAGAAATCAGTGCTGAGTTTCTTTCACTCTACTTCCTTCCAATCCAACAAAAAAAACCCATTTTCTGTAAATTTTTACGTAAATTTTACATTTTAACTGTCATTTCACTATTCATTTGTCAGTGTTTTAAAGTGGTTAATTTGACCTTTATTCTTCTAGGATTTGTTGTAGGATAATTTTTATTCTATATATACGTTAACTGAGATTACCAGTTCATCAGATCCTAAGTGTACCCAAAAGAGGAAATTACACTGTCATTCAGTTCAGGAGACAGTACATCGCCTGAGACGCTCTGCCACATAAAACTGAGATCTATGCTCACCTGCCATGAAATATCAGTAGATACTCGAAATTAGAATAAGGAACAATTTTTAAGGCATGAAGCACTGTTTCCAAGCTAAGTTCAGTATGCATCATGGTATTTGTTGCCGGTCCATAACCTAAACTGTAATTTCATTTGGATATGCCATCTTCCTTATGATTTCTACCCTATGCTGTCTACTGCTGTGGCATCCTACACCACACACAGCTGCCTGTCAGCAAAGTCTAGGAAGATGGCTGTACGTGTCACTGTAAAGTAAGCATTTCATTGGAACTGGAAGCAGTTCTTATATTCCACCAAGGTAACAGCAGCAGGTGCAAAAGTGGAAGCAGAAAAATCATGCCTCCTTCATCCTCTGGGAAAGGACCCTAACTGGTTAAAGGTACAGTTTTAGTAAGCACAGCTGGAATAAAAGAAATGGAAAACCAGCAGATTGGCTTTAGTGGTGTCCCTGAGCAGGTCTTGATGGTGACCTTCTATCTGCTTTGAGCTGCTACTTGTTAAAAAAATAAAATAATTAAAAATTATCTTATCTACAAGCTACCTAGAAGATTGTGTGCTCCACCTAAACTGACAATTTTTCAATTTTTGCATAGACCACAACAACGCTTCTGCCATCCATCTACTTAAAAAAAAAAAAAAGAGAGACAAACACCCTCCTCCACTGGTTGTGCGAGGCATCTCTCTGTACATGTTCCCACTTAGGGATTTAGGAAAAGGTAGAACACACACATTCACTATGTTGGTCTTTCCCTCTCCCTCCCTCTGCCTCCTGGGAAC